CAGCAATTTGTATACGGGGTAAAAGCAGGAGTTCATAATCCACTTGAATCAAACCGTGTAATATGATGTATTAAGAACTATGTAATGTTATGAACGACCAATTAAAAAAAAACAAACAAAAAAAAAAACTTTTTTGTTGGTACTGAAGATGGATCCCAGGGATGCTTTACTACTAAGCCATATATATATCCAACCCTTCTTATTTTGTATTTTTGAGACAGGGTCTCGMTAAGTTGCTCAGGCAGGCCTCCAACTTGCCTGCCTCAGCCCCTTGCTGGGATTATAGGCATGTGCCACTTCACCTAAAAAGAAAGGATATTTGACAGAATATGATAAAGTACTACAGAATTCCCATCTCTTAGTATGCAATTTTGACCTTAACTTAAAAAAAAGAAAAAAAAGGACACCTATTTTTGCCAAAAGTCCCAAGATTTAAAAGTATCAAAAATCACAACTATAATTCTCACACAAATTACACAGAACATTTTAAAACTGCAAATATATTATAAAACGGCATACTTATACCTTTAATTTGCTTCCGCAGTTTGGTAAGCTCTGTCATCCATTTTAATACCTTTGGATTGGCTGCAATATCACTGTAGGAAGGCTGAAAATTAAGAAGCAGAATAATTGACATTTTTGTAGTAAGCAATGTTTCATTAATTTGTGCCCACATAATATCTTATAGTTCTCACTGCAGATTTCATTCAATTCTCAATCCATATTTAATTAATTATACCTTAATTATACAGGGCAGAATATTAAGTAAAAATTCTCCCAGAACAGGGTTAGATAACTGGCTGAAGGCAGATTTGAGCATGGGTCTCCATCTTTAAATATAAGACTCTTTCTACTTCACATGTTCTAATTATTAAAATATGTTCTTTTTCCTTTTCTTCCTTCACTTCTTCAGCAACTCTTAGAACTTGTAACTTTTACACAGAGCAGAAATAACAGCATCATTTTTAAAAGTAAAGAATTTGCTTTAAAAATTTTAAAGCTGTTTTACAAAGGGAAATAGAGACAACGTTGCAATGGCAAGAATACTGACCTAGAAATCAAAAGGCCAAAGATCTATTTGCTTTCAGATCTATATAATTACTTTTTTGGTGGGTGTGGCAGCACCAGGTAGTGGACCCAAGGCCTTGCACATGCTAGACAAACATTGAGCTATATCCCCAGTTCTTTTTTTTAAAAAAAGAATTTAAGACAGGGTTTCACTTAGTTGCTCAGGCTGGCCTTAAACTTGCAATCCTCCTGATTAAGCCTCCCAAGTACTTGGGATTATAGGCATGTGCCACCATACCCAGTTTATATGGTCTCTATTTCTCTGGGCATCAGGAAAGAGGTGGACTGATGCTCTACAAGCCCTTTCTCCCAGTTCTAATATTAGAAAAAAAAATTTTTTTTTGTGTGTGTGTGTTACTGAAGATTAAACCCAGGGGTGCTTTCACTGAGCTACATGCACATTTTGTTCTTTTGTTTTCCTTTTGAGACAGGATCTCGATAAATTGCTGATGCTGGCCTTACAACTTACAATCCTCCTGCCTCAGCTTCCTAAATCACTGGGATTACAGGCATGTGCCACAGCACCCAATCAGATACAGCTTGGTCTGGGCCATGGTACAAACTTACCTTGCTATTTCTGTCTCTTTCAAACTGCTCCTCAAATTGTCTGATTTTTTTCTGAAGTTTCTTAACCAACTGGTAAGGTGTTCTGTCTTCTCTTTTTTCATCCTTTGAACTAAAGGATGATCTTCTAATCCTGAATTTAAATGACAGGCCAATAGTCTGTGTTAAATTTTCAACTGTCAACACAACTACTAGTAAGTATATCTTGAAAGTGAAGTTAAGTCCCTAATAGTAAAGAACAGCTTGTTTAAAAAAAAAAAAAAAAAAAAAAACCTACAGTGTTACACACCACAAAATTAGTGAACACAGTGGTAGAATCATTTAAAACTTATTTGGACAAAGGCAGAAAATAAATAAAGAAACCTAGCAGCTCAGAGCTCTTGTAAGCGTTCAACTTGGGGGAAAAACAAGTTTTTGGTATTCACAATCAACTTTAAGTTTTAACAAAAATATTAGGGGAATCAGTTTCACTGGCTGCTTCCCTTTCAACTCTGTATCATAGTAATGAATGAATAAACAAACAAATACACCATGGAAATGTCCATTTGAAAGCAAACTTCAAGCACCACATATACCTCAATGAATTTAGAATTCAACAGCAGGGCAAAACCCGCTTCAGGAAATGGGGATTATAGAGGAGAAGGGTCTGACCTATAGGTATAGAAAACTAAATCTTTCAGAGGATCTGGGAACCTAATAGAAAACACCTCTTACAAATACATTTAAAAAAATCATATACCTAGTAAAAGAAAGTGCTTTAGATGAGGAATCCAGCATTTCTGGATCATGTAGGAAACGCTGGCTTTGTCCAAAATCTAAACTGCGGTGTGATAATACTGGAGGACCATCCTCTTCCATGGGATGGTGATTCATTCTTCCAGCTTGTGGAGACAGCTGAGCTTCTCCAGACTCAGAATCCTCCTGCCAAGACTTAAAAGCAGGAAATGGTTCTGTAAAACATAAAGAACAGTAGGATGGGTCTCTTGAGTCCATATGGGGGGAAAAGTCACAAAATGTAGTCTATAGGTTCTTTAAATTGTATCATCGTGTAGTATTTGAAATATCTATTACACATGTTTTTTAATGAAACAAGAGATATGAGGATCTTCATGATGCCAACTAAAGTTTAAAATTATCCAAGATTTAGCTCAGAGTTTTCTCTTTTCACAAAAGGAGCTAAAGCTTAAATTACTGAACCCAGTGGCAAAACAAGAAAGGACACTGTCAAGCTCTCTAAAATTTAATTCTAATTTGGTGTGATCCCAGCTACTTGAGGCAAGAAGGATTCCAAATTCAAAGGAGATCTAGGAAAGTAAGCAATACTCTGTCTCAAAAAGGGCTGGGGATATAGCTCAGTGGTGGAAAGCTTGCATAGGGGAAGTCCTAGGTTTGATTCCCATGAAGGGAGGGAGGGAAGGAGGGAGGGAAGAAGGAGAGAAAGGAAAAGAATGGAAGAGACATTATTTAATATAATTCTAAATATTCTAAAYATAAGGAAAAATATTATTTTTCAAGTAAAGAAAAAAGTCTTATTTTGAAACAGTGACCACTCAACAGTCCTTAGTTAGGAACATAAAGTAAAAGCCAAATGCTGCCAGGTGTAAGATTTGTCCATTATTATCAAGAGGCTATGTTAAGATGTAGAAGCTCTTCCCTATGCTACTCAGAAATGGAGTTCTCTGACTCCTTAAGAATTCTTTTTTTTTTTTTTTAGTTGTGGATGGATAATTATTTCATTCAATTATTTATATATGGTGCTAGAATTGAACCCACTGTCTCACACATGTGAGGTAAGAAACTTCTACCACTGAGCCACAACCCCAGCCCAAATTCTAACATTTCTAAAAGAGGAGCTAAGTCACCTGTCAGCATCTGGTCTCTTAACATGAAACTGTAGTGGTTATCGTTTAGTATGGGATTCCTATGTATAATATGTACTTTATTAAATACCCACAAGAGCATCATAAAGAAAAAACTTAACAGTGCTAGTCCTTTATAAGCACATATATCTTATTGTAGTTACCCTGAATGCTCTCAAAAGAAACCATGTTAATATAACTGGTATCTTTGCACACATAGAACATATAAAAATCATACACATAATCCACAAATATAACCCAAATAAAAAAATGAAATGAATTTTAATATCAATGAACACAGGGGCAAAAAAAAATACTTTGCCACTACACATTTGCATTACTTGTAACTAATAATTCTTTTAATTGGGGAAAGAGGTCACTAGGGATTGACACAGGGGCACTTTACCACTGAGCTATATCCCTGTTTGTTTTTTGTTGTTGTTTTTTCAGACAGGGTCTTGCTAGGTTGCTTAGGGCTTCGCTAAGTTGCTGAGGCTAGCCTTGAACTTGTGATCCTCCTACCTCAGCCTCCTGAGTTGCTGGGATTATAGGTGTGTGCCACCATGCTTGGACTGTAACTAAAATTTAAAACTTTAAATGCTATGGCTATTAATAATGGCAAAAAAAAAAAAAGGAAAGATGGCTCAACAGTGTCAAACTTCAAAAGTCATTTTTTCTTTGTTCTTCACGATAGTTAATATCACTACTATAATAATTTTAATTTTATGCATTAGCTATGTAAAGCACTGCCTGTTTTACAGGGTAGTAAGAACAAAACTTAAGTCTTTTTTGAAACCCAAATCAATCTCATAAGTAAAAATTGGGTACAGAGCGTGCAATCCCATAATAAACCCAGCAATAAAGTGATTTCAAAGCAACCCTTGTACCTGTGTCCCAGAAATTACTTATAATAAATGTTTTATGAGAAATCTGTTTTAAGGAAAGAAAGAAATAACAAAAACAATTCTTTGGTATCAGTTTTAATCCAAACAATTATTCCTAAGATTTGGGGACAGCAGGAGAAGGGCTAAAAAAGACAAACAGAGTGAACCATAAAAAGGCAAGAAAACTAAACTATGGTGAACCATACTTACCCTCCCCATCTCTCTGCAGATGCATTGTTTTGAAATCAATGAGGGGAAAAGTGATAGGGCATGACGCTAATAAAATGGAAAAAATGGCAAAAAATACTAAAGTGAACACACGGCACAGTCAGAACAAACCATACACATAACACAAAGCCAAAGATACCAAAAACATTTCCCTAAAACTAGTTAGGCATTTTGCTCAAAAACTATTCAAAAAAATTACTATTAACCAAACTTTAACAAATGCAAACATACATTTCCATTTCAGCAAGCAAGGCAAAAATAAAAGGAAAAAAAAAAAAAGAGTAGTGTTTTTTTTTTTTTAAACTCTTAACTGATACTGTTTGAAGCTTTTCAGTGTCACTGATTTAACAGAAAATAAAATCCCACTTTCAAAAGATCCCACTATTATGTTTCATTCCAGAATTAGGAGAAAATGGTTCACCTCCATTAAAAGATAAGTCTTTTTAAATAGCTGTTACAAATTCATACTGTTAGTAATAATGTGCTGCTACCTGTTTGCTGTGTTTTGCTGGTAATCCTTTGAGAAAAACAAAAAACACATACTAGAGAATGAGGTGGGGGCCTCTATTTGGAGTCATTCCCACTTCTCTCCTAGGAGCCACATCAAACAAAATGTCTTTAATTCCGAAGTCTGAAGTAATCTGTTCTCTTAAGGAAGACATTTTATTTTAGAATATCATGACACCTAACTGTGAAAAGTCAATGTTCTTATTAGTGGCAAAGCTTGAAGGAACAATACAGTCTCCCAAGCACATGTGTGGCCATCAAGTACACTCAGCTGTCTACTACCATTGACTTTTTAAAGATCATTGGCCCCTCTTTTTGTAATAGTCAGTGGGAGACTGATATAAACTTGTCATGACCATTGAATCATATGGATAAGAGAATATCTCACACACTGAAAATCAGGGATCCATAGGTAACCTCCTTTTCCTACAATAAGATATAGGGGTTGGCTAGTGGCTTGGGAGGCTGAGGCAAGAAGCTCTTGAGTTCAAAGATAGCCTCAGCAACTTAAGTGGTTGGATTCAGACATTGTGGGATGGGGGACAGTCCAGCATCAGATTCTCTTTGAAGGAGCTTCCAGAAAGCTGAAGAGACAGAGAATGCCCAATCTCTCAGACAATGGAAAACAATTACTCATCTATTCTTATAATTCAGAATTAGGGCTTCCCCTGCCAGGTCAAACATCATAAATGGCTATTTATCTGCATCTTCTAAGAGAAAGAAGCAAAAATACTTTTTTAGAATCCAGATGCTCTGTTAATTACTGCTCCYTTTCAATGATTATGCCTCAATAAACAACTAAAAAGGACATTTAATCTTCACTGTCATCAGTATGCTAACATATCCTCTAACTCTGGAGAATATCTTCATAAATTCCAGAAATCCTGAATAACCCAGAACAACCTGACAATCAAATGACAACTTCTTGATTTGTCAGTTAAGACTTATGTCATTGGGCAGGCCAAAAACCTAGATCTAAAAAGGAGGGAAGGAGAATAGAAATAAAGATTGGTACAGACAATGTTTTGGTTAGAGCTTTAAAAAAACAYCTAGACCTTAGCCAGGTGTGGAGGTGCACACCTATAACCCTGGTGACTCAGGAGGCTGAGGGAGGAGAATCCCAAGTTTAAGGCCAGCCTCAGCAACTTAGCAAGGAGGCCCCCAAGTAACTTAATGAGACACTGCCTCAAAAGAAAAGACTGGGGATGTAGCTCAGTGGTAGAATGCTCCTGGGTTCAATCTCCAGTACCCCTCCCCACAAAAAAAAAAAAAAAAACACACCCAGACTTCATACAYGCATGTGCATGCGCACGTGTACACATTCCTAAGATCAGGGGAACAGATTTACAGTGGCAAGAGGAGCAGAAAGCATTGGCACTGTAATTCCTCTTGTTGTTACCACTGTATATCATCAGATAACCTGCCAAAGGTAAGATAACTCGGGAATCTTCAATCCGACTGAACAATATGTAACTAGGCTTAAGATTCCTGAATTGGAGGCTGGGGTTGTAGCTCAGTGGTAGAGCGCTTGCCTAGCACGTATGAAGCCCTGGGTTCTATCCTCAGCACCACATATAAATAAATAAATAAATAAATAAATAAATAAATAGTGCCCAACTACAACAAATAAATAAATATTCCTGAATTGTCTCATTCTCTTTACCTAGGAAAGCATATGATACAGAAAGGCTCCTAGATACAAATTTGTTGCTCATTTCCTACCTCCTCCAACATTTTACTTCAAAGTGCACAAAAATACAACAAAGTTAAATTCTACAATAGCTACTCATACACTAATCACCTAGATTCTATCATTAACATTTTACTACATTTGCTTTACAACATTTACCCATCTCATTTAGTTGTAGTTGTAGTTGGACACAACACCTTTATTCCACTTATTTATTTATTTTTCTTTATTTGGTGCTGAGGATCGAACCCAGGGTCTCGCACATGCTAGGCGAGCGCTCTACCACTGAGCCACAAACCCCACCCCAATCATCTTTTTTTTTTTTAATGGATTTCAAAGTAAACTGGAKATATTGGTATACATCCCCATAAAAAGTTCAGTAGACAAATCATTCACCGAAGTCAGTATTTGTTTAGTTTTATTCTTAATGTAAAAATAAAACTTTACATACAATGAAATGAAAAAATCTTAAGTGTACATTTGCTAAGTTTTGAGAAATGCATACACCCATGTTGCTTGCTTGTTAAACTTCTTTTCTTTGTGCAAATTGTTAGCCTCCACCCCCATCATACTTTCATTACCTGATAGAGACAGGGATATGATACAATATTTGGTTATACATGCCCTTGAAGATCATTTTAAAGTATTCCTGATAATCATTTAAAAAKGAAGCTAAATGCTCTGTGTTCAAACTGAGAAAGTCCTCAAGTGCTAACACCAGATTTTCAAAGACTAAAGATAGCATCTGGTTTAACAATTTTAGAAAGCCTATTCTGGGTGATTTTATTTTAAAAATAAATTCTAACATCCATTTTCAAAGCTAATGGATCAGACAAATTCTAATTCATATAAGTCAGTTGCCCCATAATCTCATTAGTATATCTAAGTATAAAATGTACTCAACTCATCTTATATGAAACAGAAAACGAAAGATTAAAATGAATAAAACTGTCCAGAAAGGGGCAGTGATCATTACTTCCTTGGGTTATCTGAGTTACAAATAATAGTATCAATAATAATAATAATAATAATAATAATAATAATAATAATAATGGATGTGGGTAAAGTTACCTTCCCATTTGTCACCATCAGAAACATTCTTCAGATCTAAATGTGGAATTTGAACACTTGTTGCTTCCCCTTGAACACCAATACTTTGACCTCCTGGCACTTCTGATTCAGTGTTGGCATTTAAATCACATATCTTGCTACTACAATCCTGTATTTTAAAATAAAGAATATATTTCACAACCATGAAGTTTTCCATTCCCAGCTTAAAGACAACTAGCGCATATCCTTATGTCTTTATTAGTCTACTATGCTTAAACAGTTAATTGTTCTACACCTACTATCCAAACTATTTTCAAACATAAACTTGCAATTACAATGCCTCATTGGGAAACAAAGTTTGGAACTCAAATTCAAGAAAGAATTTTCATATAAACAATCCCAAAAAACCAATGGCTGAATGTGCAGATGCTGACTCACAATAGGCAGGGTGGAGGGTGTGGTAGGAGTGGAGGTTCACCAGATTGGACAGAGGAGTATGGGGGGAAGGGAGGAGAGATGGGAATGGGAAAGACAGTAGAATGAATCGGACATAACTTTTCTGTATTTGTATATGAATACATGACCAGTGAAAATCCACATCACATACAACCATACCAATGGGAAGTTATATTCCATGTATGCATGATATGTTAAAATACACTCTATTATCGTGTATACTAAAAAAATTAAAAATTGAATTTAACACACACACACACACACACACACAAAAGTATTTTCAAGGGTGTAGTAGTACACACCTATAATCCTAGCTATTTGGGAAGGTAAGGTAGGAGGATCCTAAGTTCAAGGCCAGCCTCAACAACATAGTGAGGCCCTATTTCAAAATGAAAAATAAAAAGGAGGGGATGCCAGGCATGATGGCACACAGCTGTAATCCCAGGAGCTCGGGAGGCTGAGGCAGGAGGATCATGAGTTCGAAGCCAACCTCAGCAACTTAGTGAGGCCCTTAGTAACTTAGCAAGACTCTGTCTCTAAATAAAATACAAAATAGGGCTGGAGATGTGGCTTAGTGGTTAAGTGCCCCTGAGTTCAACCCCTGGTACCAAAAAAAAAAAAAAAAAAAAAGGATGGGGATGCAGTTCAGTGGTAAAGCACCTTGGTTAACCTCCGCACCCCGCCCCCCCCCCCCCCSCCAAAAAAAAAAACTGTTTTCATAACCAAGAATCTTATAACTAAAACTCGCAAATAAGTTACCACTTAATTACAAACATTTGATAAAAGTATTTATATTTACATCTCTTTTAAACCTATCCAATACAAGAATTAAAGGCCAGATATAACTGGCATATAAAATCCTAGCAATTTGGGAAGCTGAGAGATTGTAGGATCACAAGTTCAAGGCCAGCCTCAGCAGCTTTTTTAGACCTTGTCTCAAAAAAAGTAAAGGAATGGGGATAGAGCTAATTGGTACAGTACCCCTGGGTTCAACCCTCAGAAATATAAAGCAAAAGAATAACAATAATGAGAATATTTGGTACATTAAACCTTGGCAATTATAAGAACCATAAGATAAAAATATTTCTTACCAGAATCAAGTGTGACAATKTATCACTGTCAAATAACAAATATTCTTTCCTAAAAATATAAGTAAAGTTATTAGTATATTAAGAATAAAAAGGTTATTATTATTACATATTTCTTACCTAGATTCCTCTCTTCCCCAATTTAATTAGCATTTAAAACGTGAGAGGAGAAAATGACCATTGGGCAAATGCCCATTCTTTGGAGCCCTATATCTGAAAATCACACAATACTGAAAAGATCCACAGAATCACTTTAGATTTAGAAAAATTAAGTAAGACTCCCCACTTCCCTGTCAACACATGAAACCGTTCCCCTAAAAAACTTTTTACAGAAGGGAAATTAAAATCCACTATAAATAGAAACAAACAAACAAACAAAAAAGCATAATGGGATTTTGTAAAATAAATATTAACCAAATAAATAGCTTTATTCTACTTTGAGACTTCTAAATTTTTTAAAAAAGGTATAACTATAACTATGTTCTTTACCTTAAATCTGTTTCTATCACAAGGTTATATTGTAATCAAAGGTTACTAGTTCTAAAATGTTCCCTCCTCTAAATATAAGAGTAGAATAAAAAAAGGAAATTTTTAAAATTTTCAGATCACATTTTATTACCCCAGAAAAACTCACCCCTATTAAGAACAGGTGTTAACAACAAGCTGTCACAAATGATTTCTACCTATTCAACCAGTCAACAGAGCATTTGCTATTATGCAGTAGGTTATCAATATGCCTACTTTTGGAAACTTCTTTTCCCAAAAAACACTTGTAAAAATTTACAATACAAGTAAGTGCCAGTTCTAACTTGATCTAAATATGGCAAGTCATCTCCTCAGATACATAATCATCTCATTCTTGCTGAGTGTAAGAAATGAATTAAATTCCCTGAAAAGCTCAAGGCCTTGCTTTGCTTAGGTAGGATGAGTAGATGCTACGACTAGCTGACCAAAGCACCTAATCCCTTAAATTTGAGAAACAAGAGTGTTAAACATGCAAAATGTAATCCACCTAAGCAAGGTACTCTTTGGATCTAAAAACAAGTTTGCTAACCTATACAAGTTGAAGAGGAAAGAACTTTTCCAAAAAGATTGAGTCCTCACTAAATGGATCCTTATTGTTCTATCAAATCCAGATGTCATCATTCTGGGGATGCCTGTAAATGCTGTTAATCTTAAATCTTCAGCCCATAACTCCAAAACTCCCTGGGCTGGAAGAGGATCATTCCTGCCTCCTGAAAGGAAGCACAAGGAACTGCTGTAAGCAGAAAATCTGTGGACCTTCAGAGTATGGGGACGCTCCAGAGACATGGCTCCAAAGAATTTACTTACCTTCAGAGAATAGGTTTCCTATTCATAATTATGAGACAATGGTATTAACACAAGTTACCCTGGCCAACAGGCTATCAGCAAATTAGTAATGCTGTTTTGGATTTCCAATTATTTAGAATCTAGTTTGCAACTWCATTACTGATGTGTTTTCTGTATATCAAATCATCTTTCCTAAGAAAGTTATTATGCACTTCTTGGCATATCTGAAAGAATGATGAAAAGAGACCCAAATCCTTTTCAGTGCCTTGAAACACTCTAGAAAGCTTTAACTCAAAGGGATTCTATCTACCTAAACTCTACATCTGGTTGACATCTCATTGCCTCAGGCATTGCTTGCTCTATTATAGCTGGTCAAGGAGATGAACATTTGCTTAAGTACCATTCTTGGAACACACCAAGAATGAGTTCAAAGAGGAAGTGAAATATTCTGTACATTATCTGTAGAAGCCAACATGTTATAATCTTTTGGTTAGTTAGCCCCAGCTGCAAAATCATGAATTAACTCACTGACAGGTATACTATAAGTATCAATAAATTCCCAATTGTTCTATAAATCACTTACAAGTTTTAGATGTCTCCAAGAAGGCTGTGTTCTTCCCACTGAATGTTTTCCAAGTTATAACTAATGTTTGTCTGAAGTTGTTAAAACTCCTGAATATTTGGACATTTAATGTTTTATTCCTACTACTAAAACAAGAAGCTTGAATTTCTTTTATATTGCCTAAACTGTATGTCATAAAGTATAGATTAATCTAAATACTGCACCCAAATATCTGCAAAGAGTTATAAATATAAAAATGATTTATTAGTTAAAAACAAGAGAAATATTTACCTCTCAAGATGGCCTTCCTCACTATCACCATGGTCACTGCATGGTTCTAATAGTATACCTACAGACTGGAAAAAAGAATACCACCACTGTATTAATGGAGCTCCCATCACTCATATATGAGAGAAAGTGGCCAATGAAATTAAGATACTAGATTATGGGTTAATCATAAGAACAACCCTCTTTAGCTATCATTTAAAATAACAACCTGTGGGAACTGGCATTTCTTTGTACAGACAGTAACTTATCATCCTTCAAAATCTAAATCATATTAAGCATAGTAGGGATCCTGCATTTCTTAGGTACCACCAATATTATTATTCTCCTGCAAAAATGGTGGCCTTCTGAGTTTACTTGTCTACTACTGTTTGCTTTGTTTTTCCTTAGTCACAAACCAAAACTGGTGAATTCCTACAGGAAAAAGAAGAGTCCTGGAGAACTTCACCAGATTCCTTTATCATGGGCATTTGAAATAAAAACTGCTTTCCACTCAGGGTGCTCCTCAGACACAGGAAATACCTTCCCCCAACACACACACACCATTTTCCAATGAGCTTAGTTATACCACCATCATCATAATTCCCCCACAAATTTAAAAACCTCCCAAGTCTAATGCAAATACCCTGAGCATTACTATAAGGTATATTAAATTTTTGGTGTTTTTGATGATCATCTCTAAAATCAACAAAATTTTAATTTTCTTCTCAGATTCTTTAAAAACTACTACTTGTCCAGTTTTGTTTAGTATGAAATAAAGTGCACAATTATCTGAAAAAAAGCTAATCAATTACTTTTTCCCTTTTCTAACTACTTATCTCCACAAAGCTGAACTGTCTCAAATAATCTATAGCAGCAGATTGAAAATAGAAGCAAAAGTGAGAATTGAGGTGTCTTCTAAGTCAGACAGGCATTAATATTTGCAAACATAAAACAATGCAACTCTTTAAACTACAAAATTTTTATGAATAGTTGTTTATTAAGAAAAAAGTGGCTGGGCATGGTGGTATATGTCTGTAGTTCCAGCTAAAAAGGAGGCTAAGGCAGCAGGAGAGCTTGAGACCAAATTTCAAGGCCAGCCCAAGCAATAGAGTAGGAAAAAAAGGTGGGAAGAAGGAAAGAAAAAGCAACCTTATTTATATTTTATTATAATGCTTAATTAATATTTTTAAATTTTTTGTTTTTATTTCTTATATGGTAAATACTGATAGATGTWAATAAAAGCTCTTTGGGATCCCCATAATTTTTAGTAGTAAAGGGGCCCCAAGACCCAAAGTGTGAGTACTGATATAAAAATTGTACTTCAAGCAACCTTTAAGCTCTAGAACACAGCCTTACATTCTGAAGGTTTCTAGCATATTAAAAAAAGAATTACCCAATATTTAAAATATTACTCTGAATAAATGCTTAAAATGAGCCTTAGTATCTATTTTTTTAAAAGTTTCCTTTTTTTTTTTTTTTTTGTAGTTGTAGATGGACAGAATGCCTTTATTTTATTTGTTTATTTTTATGTGGTGCTGAGGATCGAACCCAGTGTCTCACGCATGCTAGGAAAGAGCTCTGCCACTGAGCTACAACCCTAGCCCCAGAGCCTTGATATCTTACTCAAAGAACCAAACTCAAATTCCAGTTCTAACTCCCTTATCACAAATATGAGAATAATAATTAATGTCTACCTTAGAGTTATTATGAGAGAAGCAAAAGAAAAAGCTTATACTAAAATCAATAAATTATATTAAAAAGTCATACTATTCCATTGCCAATTCTGTAATTTTTTATAATGAAATAATTGAAACAAAATACAAAAATCAATATTAATATCTACATATGCTGCAGTCAGCTTTAGACTAATATTAATTAATATCCACATATGCTGCAGTTAGCTTTAGGCAACATAATTCTTAAATTTGCTTTTCAAATAGTGAAAATCAGTAAACAAAAAGGCAACTGGAGGCAATGTAAAAGATAAAGTAATAATGACCAAAAAAAAAAAAAAAAAGATAAAGTGACAGAAGTAAAAGCTGACTGCCCAGCAGTGAAGGAAGTAGAATGAAATGAAAAACCAGGTGCCAAACTACACTGTACATTATGCCTCAGGGTAAAGAAATTAAAGTCAGATCATAATATAGTCAGAGTTCAATTACAGACAACGAAATATATACTTTCTTTAAATACTAGTAAAAATGTATGTTTCATCACATTTATTTCCTCAGAATTCATTAAAGATTAAATATTCATTCATATGTGGGTAGAGAAGAGCTTGGTCATTTGCTAAAATATTAGCTGGCAAAATAACTCATATCTCCCTCCCCATTGTACCTTTCCACACACATCAGAGTCCTCAAATGGAAGGAAGCCACTCTGGTCTCAAAGTAAGCTAGAGAGCTTTTGTGGTAGGCAGTGATAATAGTAGGAGCAGTTGCCCCACAGACATAATACCAATATCTTAGGGGCTGTCAGTGTTTACTGCCATGAACTAATTAAGGCCTGGTTAGCATTTCCAGAAACTGTTCTCTACCTATGCCTTAGCCATCAAATAACTGGTGCTTCCACATTGCTTAGTTTTGCTTTCTCCCATCTCCACTTACCTAGCTCTGCTCAAGCATGCTAGTTACTTCTTTTTAAATAGGTTAAAAATTTCTCAATCCATTCTGTGCATTTAATATGTTTTAATATATAATAAACTGCATACTAAGATAGTTCTATCTAGTCCACTTTCTTTCTTCCTTTTTAAGTTGTTGACAGATCTTTATTTATTTACACGTGGTGCTGAGATTCGAACCCAGTGCCTCACACATGCCAGGCAAGTATACTACGGCTGAGCCACAGCCTCAGCCCTAGTCCACTTTCTTTTACCGAGTTAATATAATCAAAACTGATGCAGTCCCATTATAGTAAAGTCAAATGACAGCCATTTCTTCCTCTTGGCTGCCTGCTAGTTTCCCCAAATACTTATGGCCTCCACTTCAGAAATGACGTAATTCCATTTTAGCAGTTTCTGTTTGCAATACATGAATAATTTCAATCTTTAGGGAGTACCACAAATGAATGTACTCTGAAATAGATGAGTTTTATGGACGTTTACTGATAAATCCAGATATTCTAAAGTGCCCTCTGATCAAACTACTGATCTTCACACAGTTGCAAATCCCTAAAACAGCCCAAATGACTGTACAACTTGCTGCATCTACTAAAAATCTATAGAGAGAAATTTCACAAGAAAATCTGAAAAAAATACTGATTTGTAAAAACATATCTTTTGAGGGGAGGGGAAGTGGGACTTGAACCCAGGGGTGCTGTACTTCTAAGCTAAATCCCAGCCCTTTTAAAAAATGTTTCTTTTGAAACAGGTCTAAGTTTCGTGGGCAAACTTGGAATTTCTCTTCTTCCTGCCTCAGCCTCCTGAGTGGCTATACCAGCGTACCTAACTTATAACTTATTATGGGCTGGCATTATGGCTCAGCGGTAAAGCCCTCGCCTAGCATGTGCGAGGCCCTGGGTTGGATCCTCAGCACCACATAAAAATAAGGATATTTTGTTCAACTACAACTAAAAAATAAATATTTAAAACTAAAATAAAATAAAAGATCTTGAGGGCCAAAAAGACATATCTAACATGTTACCCAAAATATATAAGGGACTCAAACTCAATAATAAGAAAACAGCCTAATTTAAAAATGAGCAAAACACACCAAAGAAAATATACACATGAAATACATCATTAGGGAATTCAAAATTCAAACAATAATGTACCACTATACACCTACCAGAATAGCCAAAATCCAAAACACTAACAACATCCAGTGTGGCAAGGATGTATAGTTCTCATTTGTGTTGGAAAATGAATGAGAAACTCATTCAAATTTATGTAGGCATTTAGATTATACTATGGGTGGCATTCAAATCGGTGGGGAAAATATAGGTAATTCAAAAAATTTATGTGTTAACTAAGTAAACATCTAGAAAAAAGTAGAATTCACTCTATATCTTACACCATAATAAATTTCAAATGCAGAAAATAAAGCCACAGAAGTATTTTTTAAAAAAGAACTTTTCAACTATGACATAAAACCTAAAGGGGAAAACAAACAAACAAACAAACAAAAAACAGATAAAATTAACACTGCCAAAAATGAACTTCAGTACTCAAAAGACAACAAATTTAAAATGTTTAGATTACCACAAAAAAGGGAATATTTCCTTAATAAATAAAAGTGCCTGTAAATCAAAAGGGAAAATCCAACCATCCAACAGAAGAATGTCAAAAGTATACAGGCAAGTAAAAAAAAAAAAAAAAAAAGACGCTGAAGCTGTGTGCAGTGGCGTACACCTGTAAATCCCAGCAGCTTGGGAAGCTGACACAGCAGGATCAAGAGTTCAAAGCCAGCCTCAGGAAAAGTGAGGCACTAAGCAACTCAGTGAGACCCTGTCTCTAAATAAAATACAAAATAGAGCTGGGGATGTGGCTCAGTGGTCTAGTGCCCCTGAGTTCAATCCCCATTACCCACCCACTCCCTCAAAAGGCCCCATTTCAAGTTTCCAACCCACTTTAACATGTACTCTACACCCTGGTCAACTGTTTTAAAGATATTTTATCAAAATCCTTCCCAATGGTGTCTAGTTTATTATCAGCTTTCTTTCCTCCAGTGGAAAAATGTTACAAGAAGATGTCACACAATGTACCTTGCTAGTTTAGTTCACTACAAACTCATGCCATCAAACTTCAGCTAGTCCTCCAATGGTTCTTGAGTATCTGCTGACTTCTGTTTTTCTATTTGATTTTTTTTTTCCCATGCAGGATCTTAAAAAACTACCTCTTTCTTCAAACTACAAACCCTATTCCTATCTCTTCACCCTCTGCAAATGAGGCATTTCATTAAAAAAAAAATAAAAATCTTAAATAAGATGCCCAAATCACCTCCTGGTTCAAAAGCATTATGTATCTTCCTTTCAACTGCAGATTAAAAACAACTTTTCCTATTTAGAAATAATCACTGAACCTGTGATTGAGGAAAGAATCATCTTTCCTCCCTTTCTCACTGCCACCACCATGCAGTATTCCACAAATTAT